TTCCATGAAATATCCGTGTAATAATAATCATGGAATTGCCATGTTTAGTTAAGGAAGAGATTATAGAATTGTCGTGTTTAGATTATAGAAAGTAACTTAATTTCTACTTTGATTAAATGTGAATTAGGTAACTTAGCCTAAATTATGAGGATTTAATTCTTATATAAATAAATACACATAGCTATATAGAACGTGTGTGTCTATATATATATATAGAGAGAGAGAGAGAGAGAGAGAGAGAGAGAGAGAGAGAGGGGGGGGTAAATCTAAATCAAATGTTTAATTATATGGCAATATTTTATTAATAGCAATTATATATTTATTANCATTTATTAAAAGTAGAAACATTATTTATGCTTGTGTAATTATCATTCTAATATGTTTATATGGTATGTTAGAATATTTATTTAGGCATAATTTAAATCAAATGTTTAATTATATGGCAATATTTTATTAATAGCAATTATATATTTATTATTATAGTTAATTGGTAATTAGTTGAGTGATTGATTACACTCTATATGGAAAAACATGTGGCATTAACAAGAGAATGAATGTTGGTACCAAAAATAGTCAATGGGGTCAAACTCTAGAGACCCCTATTTATACACCCCACATCACTTACACTCACACACAACTTATCTTATATTTTACATCTCTCTTTCTCTTAACGCGTCTTCTACATACACATTTTTACATTACAAAGTTTAGTATGCACGGTGTCCAAGAATCTTGGAGTGAAAGTTTAACAAGACAAGTTCCTCAATTTACTTTAATATCCTCTTCAATACAACTGTAAGTGTAGCAGTACGAATTGTTATTTCAATATTTGAATTGCAAAAATTTATGTTATAATGTGATAATAATGAAATCCAAATTATGATTATGATATGGATCCTATATGTGTAAGTTCAAAGGACCGGATTTAGTAGCGCTCCACACGGGATTTATAGCTACGAAGTTCGGATTTTAATTCCCATGTCTCCATATGTGTGCTATGATTTTCCGTATTTAAATATGAGATACAATTCATTATTACTCATTTCCTGAAATTTATGTCTTACATATGTATGTTAAATACTTTGTAGGCAACTAAAAAGGTGGTTTAGAGGCGGTCGGAGGTAGATTGTGTTTGCGTGGGGTGTAAAAGGAAGAATAAATTATGTAGTTAAGTATTTTAATAATGTTCATTGTATTTTTCTTAAAACTAATTTTAAATTCTCGCATGTCAAGAAAATATTATGTCTTTTTGATCGTTACAAAGTCAATCATTCAACACTTATCCAGTGAGTCTAAAGTTCATCTCTTTTATTTAATTTCTATATTTTGAACTCTATAGTGCTATATTGAGGACAATGTAGGAATTATGTTTTAAGGGTGAAAAACTATATTTTTTTATAATTTAATTTGCGTGATTTATATGTGTATGAATAATTTAGATTCAAATATGAGAAACAAAAAAATTCAAAAATTTAAAAAAAAAAAAAAATTGTGTTCAAATGTTCCAGCTTTATCTTGCATCCTTGTATGTGTGACTAAACTTGAATAATATGATTCATATACAATGATAATATTGTGTCTGATTTGAATCTGTTCGTGAGAACTTTAGAATTTTCAATTATTACATGAATTCCATTGTTTTATACTTGGCTTTTGAACAAATTGAGCACAAATTCATTCTTAATTGCACTTGTCGATAACTTCGAAATTCGTCACATAAATTAACTACCTTAGAATTTTTCAAGACTATGGTATTTATTGCAGTAATAACATCTATTAGAGACATTGAAACCCCATTTAGAATAAGATTGGGGTGAATAGATCCATCTAAGACCAATAACGTCATCACTTTTCTATAGAGTGAAAATCGCTTTCGAAAACTAGAAAGGTCCCAAAAACTTAAGAAGGGACAAAATAAAAAAAATGATACACACTGTGTTGAAGCATTAACAAAACAACTATAAGTATTGTGTAACGCCCTAAATTTTATTGACTTTGATTTTGAGGTGTTAACGATATCATTTTATAATCATACTTGAAGCAGAAATATTAATTGAAAATTTAAACTCAATTTATTTGAACCTTCATAAATTGAATTAAATAAACATAGAGTCTCGAAATTTAGGACATTTAACAAAAATAAAGGGAAAAAAAAAACACAAAATATCATAACAAAATTTATTGTTTAACTGTTTTCCTAAAATTTTACTTGGG